AAAACAAATGAGCAGAAGTAAATTAATGAGGTCATACCTCTCATTTCCGCTGTTGTAAGCATGATAAGGGAGGATAGCACTATGGTACACAATAAATGTCCTTATTGGCTCAGAGTACTGTACTTCCATCTAATACTCTTTCCAACAGTTCAGTGCAAGTTTTATGTAAAATACATTGAATTTGTTTGAAAAATACATAACTGAATTTTTTTTAATTTGTATGAAGTTTGTGAGAAACAAGAGCTGCAATTCCAATTAAAAAGTTTATATATCAAATTGAAATGATTATATTTGCTGTGGAGGATGGATGGAAAGTAACGCTTAGAAGATTCCTTTGATAAAGTCAGAATCAAATAAAGATGTCAGTGGTCCTATAGCCTGAAAACATCAATGCAGTTCTCCTGTAGGCAGTGGTATAAACCCAGTTATCTCACAATTACTTCTGACTATGTGTCTCTAATGATCTCTAAGAAAAGAATTCTATGGAAATGCTGGATAAGAAATAGGAAGACCATTCTGGATTAGAATGTAGAGGAGATTGGAGGTGGAGCAATAAAGGAATTATAACTATGTGGGTTAAAAGGAAAAGGAGCTGTTTGGCCTAAATATTTCTAGGTCAAGGCGAGAGTACATATGTGTGTTGGTGGAGGAGAAATACAGAAGGGTGATTTTGCACACAGCAGGAAGGTTGTTTACAAGAATTGAGTAATCCTGTTAAGAAAAATGTGTGTATTATAGAAGGACTCTCTATACTATATGGGACTTCTATGTTGCAAGATGAACACATTGTTTATGTAACGCACTGTGATGTTTGCATGCACTTTTTAAGGAGTTATAAGGGAAATTGCACAGGCACTTTATTATGAGGATTGAACACATGATATAAATTGCATACTTCGTATTGTGCAGCACTGATTTACAAAGTATTTAATATTTGCATATGTGAGAACACATTTAGTGTCAGTAGCAGTATCACATTGGAGGTAGGAGTTTGCATGATTGCGCTGAAGTCATTTTGTAGTTTTTAGTTGATTACAGATATATTCAGCCTAGGATCCAATGCGGTTTGAATATTTATCATACATTCTTCTTCAGGGATATGATACCACTCTGAAATATAGATGATAATTGATCATCAAATTTAACAAAAGTTTTTTTTCTTTATAAAATTATAGAGTTATTCAAAACCAAAACATATAAGGTAAAGGACTTACATAACCACTATAGGTATTCTGAATAGTGTCTCACTATGTCAAGAGATACATCCCCTCCAAAGGTGAAGCCGTTATTCTAATACTGCCATTATACAATATATATATATATATATATATATATATATATATATATATATATATATATACACACACGCGTGCACACACATACACAGTATATATATATATATATATATATATATATATATATATATAATTGGTGATAAAGAGCTAGGAGCACAGGGAAACAGCATCACCATCAGCTGGTCATATATGTAGATAAATAGAGGTCAATATCAAAATACCCATATCAATATGTGAACCCCTTTACTAGATGGTAATAAGGGCATGCATTCCAATTGATTTTGTGCTTCCCATCAATTGGTACTACACAGAGAAACATCAAGAATGTTTTATAAAATACCAAATGATGAGACATACAAGCTCAAACATTATGTTATTACCTATTAAAGTTCAAAAGGTTGTCATAAATGCCAGCAACCAACACTCCTATTTGTTTCCCAATTCACCAATAGTTGCAGTAACGTAAAATAGCATTCCTCCAAAACTTCCAGGAGCATAGAATAGTGACTACAACTGGGTTCTGATATCCTCACCCAGCTGCTCTAATTGTGGCCTTAAATATGACAAATGAAAGGTGTGGTGTTTGCTGTTTACTTCCTTTAGCAGAACCAAGTCTGCTAGATGTAAATGAAGGCAGATGGCACTCATAATGTGGTTCCCGGAGTTCTCCAAAACTGTGCATGCATAACTGCGCTATGCACATTGACGTCATGTCCGGCTCCAGAATGACATATTTCCAGAGACCGTACGTGATCATCAATTGGAGACCGCCACCTACAAAGAAAGACATGGCTTGCACAATACTGTGAATGAGAATAAGAGGGAAGGAGATAATGCCTCCCCCATTGATCTGTGAGGCCATAAATGGGTCCCCTTCCATGAAACATGAATAGAAGAGACCCTTTCTGTGCCGGGCACACTAATTCAAGACAGCCCGAACAAAAAGAGGCAGACAAGAGCCCCCACATAAGAGACACTTGTACAGACTAATTACAAAACATACTGAAAAAAAAAATATCATACAATTCGGAGAGTACATCACATACTTTGTTAAGAATACAACACAAATACAAATGAAACAATCTTTGCAATATATTTAAAAGGGAAAGTCCATGGGGAAATGAGAATAAAACATTAGAGAAAAAGAAACAGCTCCAATATTTAGCAAATCCTCAATCAGTTTTTCCAGAGGTAAAACCTTCTAGAAAAGGTCTAGTTTTTTGATGCGTTTAGACCAGCGGGGCAGGTGGCATCAAGGCATCTAATCCAGCGCATTTCTTACTAGAGCAATACCTTGTTCCAGTCGCCTCCACTTGCAGAAATATGTATTCTTTCAAGAGCTGAAAAAGCAACATTTGGCATCCTATATTTATGAAATTTGGCAACATGCCTTCCCAAGAGTAGATAGAGATTTCCTATTCTCATAGCATGAACATGTTTTTCTGAAAATGTTTTAAAATTTAATTTAATTTTCTTTTTGCCACATCAGCAGCAAAAATATTTTGGGCACAGTAACCATTCCCCTTCTGCACCGCAGGTGTTCCTCCTCCTGCATCAGCAGTGGTTCCATTTTTTTTGGCCTTCTTAATTTTTGTACATTTATTTTATTTTTTTTTTTGCAGCAGAAGCATCCATAATTGCTTTACCTCCTATTTTTCTTAGTAATAAAATGGTTTAAAGTGCACCAAACACAAAAGTATTGCACCCAAGCACCAAATTCCCATCCCACACTCCTAAATAAAAAGTTATAAAAATCCCGCCAAAAAAATCCCCATCATGCCCAAAAGGCCAACAAGAAGAAGCAGATGCTCAAAGGCAGCTAAAAAAGGGCAAGCAGCCTCTGGGTCCAAAGAGAAAAGTAGTGGTCATGGACATCTTCTGCAGACAGGGCATGCTCATCCTTTTTTTCCAGTGCTGGTTGAGTTATTGAGTCAAAACATGCAGAAGAGGTGGTGGAGTGAATAACTAAGCCATCTTCATCCTCCTCACCCTCTGTTACCCAGGATAATACTAGTTCACCTTCCACTGCAGCTGCCAAAGTAGCCTATTCCACATACTCCTTGTCCAGAGCTACTCCTTTCATAGTCCCACCATCATGCACAGAGGAGTCACCTGAATTATTTGATTATGGTGTCAATTACATACTGCTGGAGGATGTACAGTAAGTTGAATGCTCCAATGTTGGTTCCCATGTTGAGGAAGGGAGTGACGTGAGCCTAGAGAGAGGGGCTGCCAATGACGGAGAAGACATTGGCAGTCAGGTTCCCCTAGCCGCAGCATACTGCCACGTTGGCTCCAATGACAAGGAGGGAGGGGATGATGAGGTAATTGATTGTACTTGGGTGCCTAAGAGAACAGAGGAGGAAAGTTAGGAGGAGGCCACCCTATTGCATCACATGACAGCTGCAAAGGTGCAGGGCACTGCTGACTCCATGCTGACTTTCAAAAATTAATTGGTGTGGGCTTTTTTGTACACGTGCATCAGACTGCAGCATTACGGTTTGCAGTCTCTGTCTGAAATGGATCAAGAGAGGTTTCCCCCATGTATTGGCAGTGTGGTTCCCCTTAAAAGGCCTAAAAGGCCTGGTATGGTTTTTAATAGGAACTCCACACACTTTTCTCCCCATTTTTGAGGTTCCACTTAAACGTGGTGGGGTTCCACTTAAAAGTGCTACCAGGCCTAAAGGGCCTGGTATGGCTTGTAGTTGGAACACCACGCACTTTAAAAAAAATGGGGTCCCTCCTAACCTTCCTTACTGACCTAAAAAGTCTCTGACCTAAACAGCAATGGGGGGGACCCCATGCTGTTTTGTTAAATAAATTTTTTTTTTTTTTTTTTTTTAAAAAGTCAGTCCTGCTGCAGCAGATTCTATACATTGTACAGATGTGCAACTTTGCAGGTAGTTTAAGCAATAAAAAATAACTGCCCCTTTAAAAATGGTACTTTTTTCATTTTTCTTTTCACCGATTCATGTCCTTCAGGGCAGTACCTAAGTCCCTAATAAAATATTAAATGTGTCGCGCTCCATCTACTAAACACTGAAATATTTGCAATGCTCTCCCCTTCAAACGTGCATTTCATACACATCTATACTAATTAATAATAAATAATATAAATAAAAATAAATACATTTAAATGAATATTAATCCATAGTGATATAGATAAATTAATGTTAAAATTAAAACACCTCTGTGCTATAATTAATTATAAAGTAATATTGCTAAATATTTTATAAATTAATAAGATGAATAATGTGAAAAAAACCTTAATAAATCTATTCAAATTCCATGTGCGTGATATTATTGTTATACAAATCAGATAAACAAGAAACCACCATGCACGGTGATATATATGTGCAAAACATATATGTGCAAAAATACAAAATACACAAAAAAATTTTTTTTTTAAATAAAAATAAAAATAAAAAGGACCTCTATTTAATCTTGCTGTGCAAGTGATATTGTGTGCTCACCTCACTTATACAGCCCAAAGTTGTAAATGGAACTATATACTTATTGTCCTTAACTAGTTGCCGACCGCACATAGCTGAATGACGGCTGCACTGCGGCCGGCCCATTCTGAGTGGACGTCATATGACGTCCTCCCAGAACGCGCTCTCCTGCGCGCCCCAGGGGGCGCGCACCCGGCGATCTCCGTGATCGCTGTGTCCTACGGACACAGCTGATCACGTGATGTGGTAAAAGGCCAATCACAGCAGCCTTTTACCACGTGATCAGCGGTGTCCAATGACACGCTGATCAGAGGGAAATGCAAGTGCCGGTTCTCGGATGCACTTTCCTCACGCTGTCAGATCGTGAGGAAAGTACTGCCGAGAACGGCAGTTGTCAGAGCGGGGATCGGCACCGATCATCAGGGCACTGATGATTAGTGCCCTGATGATCGGTGCCCAGCAGTGCCACCCGCAAGTTCCGCCCACCTGTGCCCAGCAGTGCGCCCACTAGCTCCGCCCACCTGTGCCCAGCAGTGCACACCCACCTGTGCCCAGCAGTGCACCCACCTGTGCCCAGCAGTGCACCCACCTGTGCCACTCTGCAGTGTCACACACCTGTGCCCAGAAGTGCCACCTACCTGTGCCCAGCAGTGCCACCCACCTGTGCCCACCCACCTGTGCCCACCAGTGCCACCCACCTGTGCCCACCCACCAGTGCTGCCCACCAGTGACACCCACCAGTGCAGCCCAGCAGTGCTGCCAGTCAGTGCCACCAGTCAGTGCCCAGGGGTTGTGCCAGTCAGTGCCGCCAGTCAGTGCCCAGCAGTGATGCCAGTCAGTGCCGTCTATCAGTACCCATCATCAGTGTCACCTATCAGTGCCGCCTATCAGTGCTGCATATTAGTGCCGCCTATCCGTGACACCTCATTAGTGCTGTCTATCAGTGCCGCCTATCCGTGCCACCTCATTAGCACTGCCTATCAGTGCCCTTTAGTGCTGCCTATCAGTGCCCATCAGTGCCACCTATCAGTGCCCATCAGTGCTGCCTCATCAACGCACATCAGTGAAGGAGAAAAAATACCTGTTTGAAAAATTTTATAATAGAAACAAAGAAACTTTTTTTTTTTTTTTCAAATTTTTTGCACTTTTTTTATTTATAGCGCAAAAAAGTAAAGCGCCCAGTGGCAATTAAATACCACCAAAAGAAAGCTCTATTTGTGAGAAAAAAATGATCAAAATTTCATATGGGTACAATGTTGCATGACCGCGCAATTGTCAATCAAAGTGCGGCAGCGCTGAAAGCTGAAAATTGGCCTGGTAAATAAGGGGGTATAAGTGCCTGGTAGGCAAGTGGTTAACTAGACATAATATAGATTTCCCAATTTTGATCTTTATATATATATATGAAAAATATATTGCTGTTGGAGTGGACTGTAATGTTACTCTCCTTCCACTGGGTGGCCTCCCAATTTCTTCTGAGCTGTGAGGGCTAGATGGATGGATACGGATATCTCCCCTCGTCCTGTGGGGATCTATCTCCTATCTCCTCTTCTTCCCTTTTGCTCCTCCTCTGTATATTCCTTATACCCTTTAACAGCTTCTGACATGCTTTCACGGGCTTCTTTGCTACTTGTAGAGGCTGTATAAGCCCTTACCATGTTATGTGCTCCATCCCTCAATCGACATTGGATACAGTAGGCTTCATAAAGCTCATCTAGCTTGCTTGTGTGAAACTCAAGCCTACGAATGAATCGTTCGGTGGACTTCACTTGCTTGTCAAGGTCATAAAGAAACCCCTTAGAAGGAAGAACATGAAAAACATTTACAGCCCACATCAAAACTCAGCGTGAGTGTGGCCTGGGGCAATTCACCACAATATCTCTTCCTCCCCCAAACCACCACAGACAAGGACTTGCAGAAAATAATGTGCCTGTACAAGGAAAACCTGTACAAGGAAGGATGTGTATGAAATGCACGATTGAAGGGGAGAGCATTGCAAATATTTCAGTGTTTAGTAGATGGAGCGCGACACATTTAATATTTTATTAGTTTATTTTCACACAGTATTATGAGTATGTTGTGTTGATGCACATCACATTTTTAGGAGTCAGTTATTTATAAGTATTTTTTAAATATCACTATAGTAGCTCACAAGTACACATTATTATAATTTAGTACCTAAGTCCCCATACCCCTTTTATGACCAATAACTTGCATATAAGCCTTCAAAATGGGCACTTTTGAATTTACAGGTTCGAGTCCCATAGACTTGCATTATGTTCGAAGTTCACAGTTGAACTTTTGTTAGGGTCGAATGTTCCACCGTGAACCGAATAGGGGGGTGTTCGGCCCATTACTACAATCTATCATGAATGCTGCTGCCAGACTTATCCACCTTACCAACCATCCTGTGTCCACTTCCCCTCTCTGCCAGTCCCTCTACTGGCTTCCCATTGCCCAGTGAATAAAATTAAAACCATTAACACTAACATTCAAAGCCATTTATAATTCTGCCCAAAGCTACATCACCAAACTTGTCTCCAAATATCACCTAAACCATCCTCTCCACTCCTCCCAAGACCTCCTGCTCTCTAGCTCCCTTGTCTCCTCTTCTCATGCTCATCTCCAGGACTTCTCCAGAGCCTCTCCTATCCTCTGGAACTCCCTACTGTTAAATAGTAATTTTAAATTCATAATTTAACACTTATAGGACTTATATGTATGGCAAGATTGCAAAATATTTGGTTTTTACGATTAATCATAATTCCAAAGACATGCTGGTAGGTTAATTGGATCCTGTCTAAATTGGCCCTTGTATATGAATGTGAGTTAGGGACCTTAAATTGTATGCCCCTTGAGGGTTAGGGGACTGATGTGAATGTACAATATATATGTAAACCGCTGCGTAAATTGACGGCGCTATATAAGTACCTAAAATAAATAATAATAATATTAAACTGTGTTGTTGGCCTTGAACAAGTGATAGTGCTGAATTATTTGGTTATACCTGATCCAGAAAAATGTCAGAGCATTTGAAGTTAAGTTAACTAGCTGGAAGCTGAGTATTTAGGACATTTCTGTAGATAGGCATAGCTGATTAGAAGATCTCTGGTGTAGGGTGTCATAGGAGTCGGAAGTGAACCAAAATAGAATTATTATGAAATAGTATATTTCTAGTAGTATCTGTGTGTATTTATTTTATGTTTTTATAAGCTGATAATATATGCAAAAAAAGTAGAATTTTGGTTATACAACATTATTGAGATATTATGTTATAAAGATAGACTCTTAGTTATACTAGTTATACTATCCTTCACAGAAACTGGTCACATGAGTAGGCTGATTCAACATTGTCATCTTTAACTTATGAAGCCACGTTTCAGATCAAGAATAGAGCTACATATGGGCTTGTCAATCAAAAGACCATATATGTAGTACCCCCTCCCTTCCATGAAAATGCTCTACTAAGCAGAATTGTTTGCCATACAAGGTTCTGAGTTATAAGAATTATGATGTCTACATGTCACATAAAAAGACATCCTAAGAGATGACGACACACAACACATACATACACATGTCCGTCCATTCACACACACACACACACACACACTCGCAAGCAAGGCATGAAAACACTATGATTATTCACATACTGACAAGCTAAAACAGGTGCATTCTCTTTGAGACCTAAGATCACTTTCTTCTTCTTGCTCAGAATCATGCTGCATTGAACAGACCAGAAGCACATGGCAGGATAGCCATGACTCTCATCTTGACACATCTTTATAACGACTGTTTTTATATTTTTATTTTATCTACACTGAACTGTTATTCATGATACATTTTACATTGTATTTTTAAGCCATTGTGTGACACAACAAAATCACACTTCATTTTTTTTTATTTTGCTGGCTCTTTAATTAACTGAAATTTACTAAAGACACTAAAAATTATTATATGTGTCCCAGAAAATTCTACACCTACCCCAATCTGTCCAGCTATCGCCTACTCTGTCCACTTTTAGGCAATTCCTGAAAACTTATGTCTTCAGGAAAGCCTATCCTGCCTTCAGCTAATAACCAAATCTTCTATTTTTCTCATCAGTTCATCCCCCACAGTTATTACCGTTTTGTTCCACCAGCCCCTCCCTATTAGATTGTAATCTCCCAGGAGCCGGGCCCTCCTAACTGATAGGCCCTCAACCTGGAACAGGGAAGCATACTTCTATTTTCTACTATATCCCGAGGGTTCGGTGGGATTTCTGAAAGTGCACCTAAACACCTGAATGCAGACATGTTGGTGCTGTTTCAGAAAGTGCATCACACCCAAAAGATACAATATAATTCAATGGCAAAGTACAGCTAACCCGCAGGTGCACTGCACTGCACCCATGTTGCTGGTAAACCCCAGAGCATCAGTGTGAAAGCAACCTTACAGGGGTTCAGGGAAATAAGAGCTCATTTATGTTTGCTTTTTGGAGAGACAGTGAAACCCCATAGTTGAGATGTGTTTTCCACCTCCCCAACCACTTGCATAGCATTGGGGGGTCACAATGGTGACCTGCCCTGTGCTCCAGGGGGCCCATCTGGTCTCCCTCTCACGCTCTGTTTTACACTTGGACAGGAGGGGTGGCAGGGGCAGCATATACAGGAAACGATCCTCTCCATTTTCCTTCTGAAACCACTGAAAGTTGACTTCTCCTCTTCTCCATAACGCCAGCATTCAGTGGCTGCAGGAGGAAAATGTTCATTTTGCTATTCAAAAGAAAAAAAATTAAATTTGGAACCATTTCATTTTATTGTGAACCAAAATCAGTTTCCAAATTACTTAAGTGGCCTTTACTCTTCAAAAGGTTGAGCACCCCTGATTTAAAGGCAAATTTGTCTTTATTATTTTGCATAAATTTAACAGACATAGCACGAGAAGTATAAAGAACATGTACAAGTAGATAAACGGAAAAAAAACATAACAGATGAGGTTATGATCCATATGGATGTAAGAAAATGATGCAGTAAAACTGTCAGAGGAAAGGATCAATAACTTATATTATGAAGGTATAACATAATAAAGTATCAGGGGGGTATCCCCAGGCGAGATGTCTGAAACAATATGAGAGAACCCCATACAACCAAAAATGTAAACTAAAAAAAAGAAAGAGGAAAAAAAAAGGAAGGGGGGGGGGGGGAGAAAAAAGCCAGCGGAAAGGAGACCAAAAGAGGAGAAGAGAGAGAAGAGAGAGGGTTGGGAGACAGGGACGTTAGAAAGCCACAGCAGGGTGATTCCTCAACCGAATCTCATCTAAGCGACCCCGCTGCCCGCATTTCGTCTCAGACTGTAGGGTCAAATTGGCAGATAAGCCAAAATGAAAATTATTTGTGGGAGCAAGGCTCAACCAGAGTGCAACAGGGGAACACATATCTCGGAGAGTCGCAGAGGAGGAGAAATGGAGCCAGACCGACCACAGCAACTTATGCTTATCATAGGTATCATTTGTAAACGCCAGCATTTCCTCCATTTGCATGGTATCAATAAGCATGGAGACCCACATCAGGAAAGGAGGGGGGTGGCTGTTTTCCAAAAGAGGGGTATCAATTGGTGGGCCGCAGACCGATATAAGTGCAACAAACTTTTCTTCTGTGCTGCCCGTGAGCCCGGTAATATAGATAGAAGGGCAATTGCCGGTGAAGGGGCCAAGGACTCACCGCAGACCCGGTTATATTCAGCAAAGACTTGTCGCCAGAAGTGTTGTATTTGATCACCTTCCCGCCAGATATGGAGCTGTGTACCAACAGCTCTATTACAGCGCCAACAAAGATCAAGTGTAGAAGGAAAGATTTTGTGTAGGGAGAGGGGAT